AGCAAGAGGGAGTTGCCTTCTCCTCATTTTGAAAGGTAATCTGGTGTCAGAAGGGGTTATAAGCAATCTAGGAATATCCACCGTCTCCCCAACCCTTTCTCCTGTTATAATTCTAGCTTGAACCATAAAATCCATTAGCTGAGTTATCTGCAGCCTTGTCCCATTCATTAATCCCTCGGTAGGAGCTATGTTTCTCAGAACCATAACAGGACAACCAACCTTCAGTCTAAGACTATGGTTTGGTAAACCAGGAACCTTAATTGTGTTTAGAAAATCAGCACTAAGAGCTTCATTATTCACAGCACCTGTATCAGAGGGATCAATGCTATCAGCACTGTTATAAATTTTTTCTTCACCTGAAATAGAAAATGTATATTTGGAGAGTAAGAGTTAACACAAAGAAATTATAATCAAAAGAAAAAAAGTTTTGTAATTTACCTTGTAACTTGTCCAACATATATTCATTAACGCTATTCACATCCTCGTTAGTTGGACAGAGGATAGCTCTCTCTTGAAAGAACTTGGCCTCTTTCTTTTCATGCAATGAAGTTGCTGTGCCATAAATCTCTTCGCAAATTGCTTCTATAGGATCGTCACAGTCGCTAATCAAAAATTCAGAGGGAATATCTATCTCTGCCTCACCATCATTAGGCTCTGAGAGTTTACCATCACCAACTTTTAATATCCACTCAGAAAATTCTTGAAGATCCCTTGCCTCTTCTGGTGACAATCCTGCTGATACCAATCTCATATTCTTGGAGAGCTTAAGCACTTTGCAATGTTTCCAAAGATAAGATGAGTTAAGTGACGCCATAACTATTTCAGCTCTTCCAGCACCATTTATAACAGGCAAAACCTGCCTAAAATCACCACCAAAAACGATAACCTTTCCACCGAATGGTTGTGTCTCGTGTTTTCCAATAATATCAGATAAACTTCTATCCAAAGCCTCAAAACAATGCTTGCTCATCATAGGCGCTTCATCCCAGATCATAAGTGATGATGCTTTCACTAAATTAGCTTGGTCACTTCCATGTTTCGTAGTACATGAAGAAAATTCGTCTGGATTTAGAGGAATACCGAATCTGGAATGAGCTGTCCGGCCACCTGGCAACAACAGTGATGCAATGCCGCTCGAAGCCATGTTTAAAACAATATCTCCTCTAGATCTGATAGCTGCAGAAAGCAATTTCCATAGGAAATTTTTCCCTGTTCCACCAAAACCACTAACAAAAAACATTCCACCATCTCCTTTATTAACAGCAGAAAGAATCTCTTCATATATCTTTCTTTGCTCGCAAGTCATCTTCGGAAGATCGTTTTGAAGAGTCTCTAACAAAGATGAACGCTCATAGCTGCGTTCGTCTAGCACCAAGACATTTTCATCATCGCTACATGTCTTTGGCGGCCTAGGCATAGATTGAAACCTTGCCAAAGAAGTTCCTGATCGCTTCAAGATTTTTCAATCTCAAGTAAAGCATACTTCTGTTTGTCGTCATCACTAAGCAACAGACCTATAATCAATATGAAAAAGGCACAAAAGGAAAATAAATTATAAGTCTAGCCTTTTAAATTCATGTTTCTAAATTATACTATATCTCCTACATTTAAAAACATACCTGGTCTATTAAAATTCCTTCTCCTAGAGTGCTCGATATCTTCAGATAAAAACATCCAAGTGTTTTCCCATACTGACTCCGGCTTAGTTAAAGTGTTACTCATAAGCATCATAACAAACACTTTCCGTAGCTCACTTGCTGTACTATCAAAACTTCNCTCGATATCTTCAGATAAAAACATCCAAGTGTTTTCCCATACTGACTCCGGCTTAGTTAAAGTGTTACTCATAAGCATCATAACAAACACTTTCCGTAGCTCACTTGCTGTACTATCAAAACTTCTTCTTACTATGTCATCAATGTACTCCTGATCATCATCTAATAGCCCACGAGCATAACATGCTTCTTTGTAGCTCTGATAGAGAACATCTTCATATGTTTTAATGTCCTCATAACTGGTGGGTCCTCTGACAACATTCAACAATACACGCAAGTAATAAGCATCTTCCTGGGTCCTAGGAGCATAGTTAATCCTCCCTAAAGCAAATCCCCGTTTCCTCCTGTTGAACTTCTTTGCTTTTTTGTCGTAAGTATAGTAGTTTGGGATCTGAGAATAGGTCAATGTTCTTGCGAAGGAGTCAATCTTGTTCAACTCAAACCAAGCTAAGAACATTGTATTCTGAATGAGCTTGCGGGTGACAACTGCTTGCAATTTGTCTTTCCCTCTGAATGTAATAACTTGCTTTCCGGGGAGATGGAAACTAAGCTTCTCAACAGCAGTTGATCGATAGTGAATAGGAAATTTGAATATTCTCCATGTTCCTTCACATGTTGAAACATATCTGAAAAATAAAACCATACATATAAAAATGGCAACTTACATAGTTTAGAGGTATACTGAAAACAAAAACAATGCTAATATTACCTGCAATCAAAGAATTCCTTGAGTTCATTCCTTTTCTTCTCAAGCTTCTCTTCAGTAATTTCAACATCTCCTAACTCAGTTGCAACAATGTGGTCTGGGGGTTCAACAGCAACTGTGACACGGTCCTGTCCTTTATTAATGTATTTAAATAAATACGTTATAGACCCAACTTGGTTGCACCACTCAACATTGATATGAGCTCTGTAAAGAAGAGATAATTTCCGGTTATAAGGAATGACATTCCGATTGTCACATCTCACTCCATTCTTCATAACAAAGTTTTCTGACTGATCACGTCTTCTAAAAACCGGAAATCCTTCTTTATTAATAGTGGTCTTCTCAGCATATGATTTAGGATATGACTTAGAGCAACGACCATTCTCCATGCATGGAGAATTAGAATTAGCTCGTCCACATGGACCATGAATCATCATATCCTTAATGACCTCATACAGCTCTGGTTCTTCCTTCTTGTTAGGAATCTCAGCTGAAATGATGTTGTCAATATCGTCTGTTGTAAGCTTTTTCACCTACTTCATGAGTAAGAGAATGTGAGCATGTGGTAATCCCCTTTTCTGGAACTCAATTGTATACATAGCTGTTTATAAAAAAAATACAGTCATAATTTATATAAAATGCAAACGTATGAAGTATAATTTAAATATATACAGATCAGACAGGTTTAACTTACATGACTGTGTCTCTCCCAAAATATTCTTTTTGGTTAGAGTATCCATCAACGATTCAAGTTTGATCTTGAAAATCCTACAGATAATGTCTGATCTGTCTTCAGCCTTTAGCTTCCTCTTCTTAACATATCTTGTGATCTCTGGCCATTTGGGATTACATGTGAAAGTGATGAAGAAATCAGGGAATCCAAAATGCTTACATATTACCATAGCATCCAAATAACAATTCTTCATATATCTAGAACTCCCAACGAATGAAGCTGGTAATGTAAACTCAGATCCTTGCTCATTCATATCTACTTTCCCTGTATTCTCAGACTCTTTAATGGAGTCATAACTATCTGATCTCAAAGAAGGCTGGTTTAACTTCAAATATCTCAAACGATTAGACTCAATAGTTGTGAATGCATCGACCACAAACTGCTGAAATAGCCTTCTAGAATGTAGGAGATGGTGAGATTCGTTCTTACGCTCATGCAGGCGAAAACAAAACCATTGCCTCATACTGATATTAGGCTTCTTCTGTTTTTTCGTCTTTTCTGTTGCTCCTTTCTTAATACCAAGTCTGAATCCATCTTCACCATATGTAAACAAAAGAGGATATTGAAGTGCAAGATAGGAAGCATGAATCTCATTTATTCTCAGTAGTTTTCCTGAATTTTGTTGTAGAACAATATCCCTTCTGTCCATATCAAGACTAAAATCTCCAGGAATAAGCGCAGCAACCTCTGAAGCCGTGGGTGTGTCATATGTCCTTCCATCCTTTAACCTCTCACTAACAATCCTCATATGAAAAGAATTTTCAGGATCTATGTTGAAGCGGTCCCTTGCTGATCTAAACTTTTTAACATAGGGATTGACTTCATCCAACATCTTCATCAAAGAGTCAATAATATCTTTCCTGAGATGATCCTTTTTCTTGACCTGGAATTTCTGTTTACCAGAGCTATAAAACAATTTTAAAATACCAATGTTAGTAATATACCATTAAAAATCACAGTTTAAAAAAAAAATATATACCTTAAACACTTTGCTCTGTTTTCAACTTCATTCTCCGTGTCAACAATATATAGCTGTCCAAACGTTGGTTCATTTCCATCTGGAGGTGTGATACCTGCACCCAATAGATGGTAATTTTCTCCTTGAAGCTGGAACATATCAGGTCCTCTACCTTTTTTCAAAGACCTCTCTACTCTTCCACCAAGAGAAGTGAAGGAGAAGACCATATTCTAGGGTCTTATATGTTTTTGAAAATGTCTGCTTCTTGGATCATCTCCTTGCAAGAGTTTTTTTAGCACTGTTGGTGGTTCTTTCAACAACGGCAATTTCACTTGTCCTTGCATACAACATAATGAAAATGTAGGATTCTTTGCGTTTCTCCGCTTGTTAAGCCGCTCTCCATACCACATGATAGCACCACAATGAGAACAGTTGTAGTCCGGATCACCTTCATCTAGATAGTCTACAAAATTTCACATCACAATAGAAACATGTAAATAAGACAATATATGAACATAAAACGTGTTATTAGTGAAAGAAAACTATCAGAATCAATACCGCAGGATTTAAAAGCATTTAGTGTAGATGGTTTTCGCGCATTCACAACAGCAACAGTGTGTTCTGAATTAGGTGCCACTCTCACTCTCTCGTTTGGCTCAACCACGGGCTCAAACTCCATAGGATCATCTAAGTCAGTGTCCTCATTTTCCGTATCAGTATTCTCTAGAGAAGAACAATCAAAGACTTGCTCGCTATCTGTATAAATGATCCTGGGAAACAAAAATAAAAATCATATTTAAGTGGAAAATTTATTTAAAAATCCTCACGTCACTTGAAAAAATATTGGCTACCTCCAAACAGATCAGTTCCGACTAATCCATCCTCTTCTTCTATGGACTGATCTGGCGCATCAAATGTAGATGGGGATGAACTCCTGTTTTTTCTTCTCAGATGTGCTATATTAGTAATGTCTTTCAATACATTACTTTCACTTGTTGTTCGATGGCATGGCTTCATAGCTTTGAAACTCCTCTTGTGTAGATCCTCTGTTATAATATTAAAGAAGGTTGAAATGAGTATGAACAAATTAACATGTTAGACAAAATTAAAAAAATAAACCAAACAAACACTTACTCGATAATGAGGTTAAGCAACTGTTAGACACTGGGGTGTCATTGACCTGGTCTTTTATCTTTTCTACACCTTTGAAAGATTAGAAAATGAAACAAATATTACAGAAGTTGATGATTGTACATAATGATAGTTAATTGGTCATTCTAGATGAATCACTTACCAAGGATATATCTCCTTTTATTTAAAGGTGTTTGTGGTGAAAGCTTGCTTATTTGTTGATATGGAGGAATAGTGTAGCTTGGAACTATGCGATTCTCAATATTTTCAAAGAGTCTATAGTAAATAGAACTTAATGGAATAGGATGGTTTGACATGGGATTATGAAAACTCTGACTCTCTTCAAGGTTAGGCATATCAGTGAATGATGTTTTTTTTTTTTGGCAGTGTCAAATCCTATTTGGACGTTTCCTCTCTTCCTATTCATCACTTGAGAATGATGATGTAAAAAACTGTTCTTGTACGACCAGAAAGAAAAAGAAGAGTGTGAAGAATGGGTTAGCTCATGATAAGATTTGCATTTAGTGAGGTAATCTCCTATTTTTCGGGTTGTAATTTGAGATTTCCAATATTTACTTTGCTTAAATGTAGGAGAATAGTTAAAATTAGGATGTTAATTTAGGAATTATTTAATTTTAACATCTCTAACATTAATTTTTCAATCTATAACATTTATAGTCGAATTTAGTCAAAATCTGCATGTAAATTGATATTGCCTTTGTTAGTAAACATTTTTGTCTTGTAATTTCTTCTTTATGTTAAAAAATAATAAATTTTGGACTCACAGATGTGTTAAGAAGAAGATAGACCAGAGTCGACCATTCATACTCTTTTATACAGGTTCACTCTTCACAACAATTATACTCTTTTGTCAATTTTATCTTTTAGAACTTCGCTTGTTAGTATAGTTTTACTTTAGAACTATATGAGTTGATTGGTTAGATAGGCTCTTGTGTGAACTGAATAAATTGTTTAGATTAGTAAAAACAATTGATGCATCTGATATTTAATAAGTTTAACGTAATCTCATATTAAAACCCAGCTTATTATTAAATATAAGAAAATCAAATAACACCAACAAAACTAAAAAAAAAACCAAAGCTTCAAAGTTTAAAGAAACTCAAAAATCAACAGCATAACAACAACTTGAAAAATAAAGGGAATGAATTAGATATTGGAAATAGGCCATGATCTTCAGTCTAATCGGTTTTCGTCTTCTCTTGTTTGATTAGCTTGGTGCATTGTTTCTTCGAAGAAGAGGTTAGGTCCTGTAGGTCATAGTCATCGTCTTTGCGCTTAGTTATAGGAGTAGGACACTCATCAGAGGAAATTTGATCCAACATCATGACCTAACTCATTTAAATTTAAGAATTAGATTAGACTCTATGATAATGCACACACGGATCAAACTATAATGCAAAAAGCTTAATAGAAAAAAATATACTTACAGATCCAGATGACATGGTAGAAGAAGTTGTGACCATATCAGAATTTGATTGAGAGTCATTCTCGATAGAAAAAACTTTATCTCCAGAACAAACCTCTAAAACAACAAAAGTGTCTGATCCATTTGTGACATTGTCTGAGGTTATGGAAATCCCTAAACAGAAAGACTTTCCGATCAAACTATGAATAGGTTGTGGTAGCAGCTCTGGATCTTCAATCTGTTATTTAAAAAATTATATATGAGGATCGAATCTAAACAATTATTGTGGGGGAAAGTTACTGCAAAACAAAATCATATCAAAATATACCTCCTCATAAGAGCCATCCCATAATTCTTCAGCATCCACTCCAACTATAGACTTACCAACAGAGTCTAGCAACATCACAGTACATGTTCCAGAGTCATCCTTCACAACCAAATGTAGCTTGAATCTAAAATTTGATATTTAAAATATAGGATATAGTAAGAATACTTGAGGCAAGTAAGATATGTAACCTCGCAGGAATTAGTGTAATTAAATATCATCACTTACTTGGGTGCCACGTTATTGATATTAGAACGACAAAGTTCACAGCGAAACAAAGGCTTATCTTTTTTTGTCATGCTTCCATAATCAACTTTAGGAATCTTATTGACACGTTTTCGGTGCCGGTTACAACCAATGTAGAACCAAGACCAATCTGTATCAATTGCTTCAACTGTACATATGATTTTGCAAATCTCCACCTAAGGGCGTTCAGCAAATTAAAATACATTTGTATTCAAACTTTGATAACCATTATGTTTCACATTTTTATTGTAGAAAATGTAAAATGTACCTGTTTGGCCTCAGCGACCTCTGAAATTGTTTTGATCTCAGCAAGATCCCAATCATAAGCAATTCTCTTACCATCCTTCTTTCCATATGGTTTTTGTACCAGAGAAACAGAGAGGTCATCATTTGTGAGCCTCAATTGCATTAAGATCAATCACATCTAATATATAAGTTATATAAGATAGGTAGGTAATAGTATATAAATCTTTACAAAATAAATACCTCTCAGTTAAATCAGTAACTTCTGGGATCATTGCATTCAGGAACAGACGTGAAGCATCAAAAGCATTAGTGATTTGCATCTCTCCTAATAATCATTAAACACAGGCTCTGAATTAGAACGTATCAATAATAATAATAATCATAATAATCATTAAACATAGTCAAAACAAATACCTCTCAATTCCTTGATTTTTGCAAACCTGATCAAACAAATAATTGGTTGATCTTTGCCAGCCACAGAGAACGGTTCAAGTTGCTCGGCATATGGTCCCCATAGACAGCATGCAAGATTGTTTCCTCTGAGGATAATGAAACTTTTTATTTAGTAAACGAAGCAGGCATAATAAAATGTAGAAGATAACGAAACCAAAAAATGTTGTGAGAACAAACCCTTCATCAACTATGCGAAACTGAATCCTCTTTCTGTCTTCGCCAGAAACTTGAACAGTCTGTACATCACCAAGATCATGAATTCTTCCAATCACATCTGTGAGATTGAAAAAGGAAACGTAGCTAAGGACTTATATCAATGAAAACATGTTTCTAAAAAATATCAAAATATAACAGAAATTGAGATTACCTATGAGAAAGGAAGGTTTTTTGGTTCCATTTTCAATTTCTTCGTAATTAGCAAGGGATAGAAACATTCTATCATCAACTAACTCTGATCTTGATATCACAGCGTCTTCTGCTATTACCATCTTGTATTTGTAGTCGGTAGTGCGATACTGACCACCAGCATTGGTGACAGAAACATGTTCAATGACTCCCCATGAATCTACAGGTAATAGGCGTTGAATTCGTTGCATGAGAGATCTTTTGCTAGTAGCATGTATCTTGTTACCCTAAGAAAAAAACACAGTGATATTAGATAGATTTATAACATTAGTAATACAGTGAAACAAAGAAACGTGTGTTAGAAAACTTACCCATTGATCTGCTAAGACCATCTCGAAAGTTTCACCTGCATAAGGCATGTTTTGCTTCCATGAGTGTAAACATTTCACCTGAATTCTCCAGTTGTCTTTGAATGGCCTGAGTTTTGTGAGAGGAACAAATGTCGTCATATTAGACATGTTGAGGTTTTGTGTTTTCTTTGATACGTTTTCGAGAGTAGGTGTTGAGATATATATAGTTGTGATGAAAAAAGGGATACGGTTAGGTCATTACGTAATAATTGAATAGTAGATTTTGGTAGTTATAATTTAAACAGAGAATCAATGGCAAAATCTTTGTATTATTTTAGAAAATCGAATATTCGATGTTTATATATCCGAAAAACTTGGTGGGCAAGTTTTTTTAATGATAATTACGTGATCAGCTCTTTCCGTATAATCTGGTAAAAAATATTCTGTTTTGATTTTGGTAGTTATATTCTGTTTTAGTTTTTTATACGATATCTTCTCAAAGTTTGGGTTTAAACATGTAACACAAGCCTTCCTCGTTAGTGTATTGGCAGTTAGAAGATCTGGGCCATTAGCATTTTATAAGCCCAAAATATAGGTAATGGGTAACGAAAATTGTAAAAGAAAAGGCAGTGTCATAGATACGTAATATTTGTGCAACTCTTAGGGCTATTCTCTATTTGTACTTCAGCCTTAATAGTTTAGATAAGTGTATGATAATAGTGATTAATCAATTTTTAAATTTGAGACAAGTGTCTTTATAAGTGAATAATCATTTTTATAATAAATAAAATATTGTCTGGAGCATATGATTTCTCCATTATCATGCTGCCTAACATACTGGAGAAATGTTTTGGAAAAAAAAGGCCTAAAAAAACTGCAAAGAAACTGGTAGTGAATTAAAACACGTAATGAAGATATGTTAGTAAATTGATTAGTTTTCATAAACCACACGTGATATTAATGTTCGATTTGTGGAAAAACAAATTAATTTTTGATAATCTCGAAATGAAATAAGCGTAAAATATAACACAAATAATAGTAGTATACGCATGTTAGTCTCTGAACGAATATGAGAAAATATTTATGTGGTTATGGTATAACCAACCTACTCACATACTATATGAAATTGACAAATTATTGAACGCCCACGTTTACAAATGCTTTAGAAAGCCATCTAATAGAAGAATATAAAAAGCAAGAGAAAAATAATAGAAAAACAACTCTGGGCAGAGAGATAGAACTGTAAAGGACGTTGGGAGGAAGAGCGTTGACGAAGTCAAAACCAAATAACAACCACCGATGTGAGGCGGCTCAAATCACAGCCACACGATCTTTCCATCTCCCCGTGTCTCCCCTCTTCTCACTTGTTCTTCCTCGCAATTACCGCGAAAACTCATCTCAGTCTCTTTCATCTAAACTGTAATATATTATATATAAGCGAGTCGTCACACAAGACCTTCAGATTCACTACCACCTCAAAGCACAAAAAAAGTCAAGCTCGAAGTTGACTAAGCGCGTGAGAGATGAACAACGCCGGGGGCCAATATCCGGATTTTCCGGCGGTGCAAACGCACGGAGGACAGTTCATAAGTTACGATATCTTCGGTAGCTTATTTGAGATCACATCCAAGTATCGTCCTCCTATTGTACCGATCGGTCGAGGCGCATACGGAATCGTCTGGTATGTTCGCTCATCTTTTCTTCTTCTTCTTATTTGTGGAGATGGGAGTTTTGATTTTTTTTTGTTTCTGTTTGGGATTGGTGGAAAGCTCTGTTTTGGATTCGGAGACGAACGAGCTAGTTGCCATGAAGAAGATAGCCAACGCCTTTGATAATCACATGGACGCCAAGCGTACCCTTCGCGAGATCAAGCTTCTTCGTCATCTCGATCACGAAAACGTTTGTCTCTTTCTTTCTTTCTTTGATTAATTACTATCTCCAGAATTTAATTAATTATTTCTTTTGTTAATTTTACAGATCATAGCTATAAGAGATGTGGTTCCTCCACCACTTAGAAGACAGTTCAGTGATGTTTATATTGCCACTGAGTTAATGGACACTGATCTTCATCAGATCATCAGATCCAACCAGGGTTTGTCTGAGGAACACTGTCAGGTAATAATAATTAAAAAAAAAACTATTCTTTAATTTGTTTCCATATGAAACTGACATGTATGTCACACTTCTTCTTGAAACACAGTACTTCTTGTACCAGCTTCTTCGAGGGCTCAAGTACATCCACTCGGCTAAAGTTATTCACAGGGATCTAAAGCCTAGTAATCTTCTGCTGAACGCCAACTGCGATCTTAAGATCTGTGACTTCGGTCTTGCTAGACCGACTTCTGAGAACGAGTTTATGACCGAGTATGTTGTTACCAGATGGTACAGAGCGCCCGAGCTTCTGTTGAACTCCTCAGATTACACAGCTGCTATTGATGTTTGGTCTGTTGGTTGTATCTTTATGGAGCTCATGAACAGAAAGCCTTTGTTCCCTGGTAAAGACCATGTCCATCAGATGCGTTTATTGACAGAGGTAATAAGAGCAAACACACACATTCTTCTTTTAGCATGGGATTCAAGATTTGGCCTGTTTTGTAATTATGTAAATATGAATGTGCAGTTGCTTGGCACACCGACAGAATCAGATCTCGGGTTTACACACAACGAGGATGCCAAAAGATACATCCGGCAACTTCCTAACTTCCCTCGCCAGCCGTTAACTAAACTCTTCTCTCATGTTAACCCAGTAGCTATTGATCTAGTTGACAGAATGTTGACGTTTGACCCCAACAAAAGAATCACTGGTAAGTGTTACAAGTTTTCTCTGTTGCTTTCTTATCTTCAAAACATCTTATCCTTTTTTTGTTGTTGTGTGCAGTTGAAGAAGCTCTGAATCATCCGTACCTTGCCAAATTGCACGACCCAAATGATGAGCCAATATGTCTTAAGCCATTCTCTTTCGACTTTGAACAACAACCTCTAGACGAGGAACAGATTAAAGAGATGATCTACAGGGAAGCCCTTGCACTCAATCCAACATATGCTTAGATGAGCAGCAAACCGAATAGCTGGCCGGTATTTACCAAATATCCATCCGAATCGTTACCCCTTAATTAGTATCTTTGCTTGTTCTTTTATTCATGTACTTTTTTACATGTGTAATCGTATTTCTTTGTTTAATGTTTGTATTACTGCTAGTGAGTGCATGTAGCTCTGATGTAAAGTACTCCAGCTATGAAATCATTTCTTCACACTTTTCTTACTTTAAATACAAGGACAATTAAGAAATATAGTATAGAGTTCTGTAATATTCTCATCAAGCCTGGAGTTTCCTATTCTCAAAATTAGTAGGTGCCATCATGATTGACTAATGGTCCATTCACATTCAAGGACCTTTAATAGATTTTTTTTTTTTTTTATGATCTTGTCTCTAGGTAGCTGCTTGCATTATTGAAGCAAGTTTGGTCAAATGATTGGCAACAATTTGGCAAATGGGTATTTATTTAGCAATATCCTTTACAAGACAATTTAGAGCTGACTTACTACATGTTTAGATTAGGATAGAAAATGTTGTCTTCACACAGGCTGTTCGAAGCTGAGAGTGATGGATCACCTCACATCAAAGCGTTTTTATACTTCTTTAACGTTTCTTGTTGGAGGCTGCTGCGCGTGGAGAATAAAATATCGTGACCATCCAAAGTCATTTTCTTTAAGCATTATCGTTGTTGTATCATTGCTTATATATATCTTCCAGCATTTAATACCATTCTTAACAGAAACAAAGTTAAAAGATCTCTACTTGATTTAGAGACATGGCTGGTGATGCAGAAACACAAATGTCTGAAGATTCAAGCACCAAACGCCATGGTGGAGGTTGGATCACCTTCCCGTTCATGATAGGTGAGAGATTCTATTTTTCCTCATAGCGAACATAAACATTAGAGCTTTAGAACAAAGAGCCTGAAGCTATAATATATGTTTATATGGTGCAGCTACGTTGTTAGGCCTGACAATAGCTGCGTGGGGTTGGTTACTAAACTTGATCGTCTACCTGATTGAGGAATTCAACGTGAAGAGCATCGCAGCAGCTCAAATTGCCAACATCGTAAGTGGCTGTATCTGTATGGTTCCAGCCCTTGGAGCCATTGCTGCTGACTCTTTCTTTGGAACCATCCCTGTTATCTCAGTTTCTGCTTTCATTTCCCTTATGGGCGTAGCTCTGTTGACTCTAACAGCTGCGCTTGACTCTTTGAGACCCAACCCCTGTGAGACAGCGTCAACCCTATGCCAATCACCTTCGAAAATCCAGCTAGGTGTCCTTTATACGGCCATAACTCTAGCCTCTATAGGAACAGGTGGGACACGGTTCACTTTAGCAACTGCTGGTGCGAACCAGTATGAAAAAACTAAAGACCAAGGCAGCTTTTTCAACTGGTTTTTCTTCACAACGTATCTAGCCGGAGCTATAAGTGCAACTGCTATTGTGTACTCTGAAGACAACATCAGCTGGACCTTTGGGTTTGGTCTGTGCGTAGCTGCTAATTTCTTCAGCTTTTTGGTTTTCATCTTGGGGAGAAGATTCTACAAGCATGACAAGCCCTTAGGAAGTCCCTTCACAAGTCTACTTCGCGTCATTTTCGCCGCGGTACTCAAAAGAAAAGCTGTTGTTTCCACCAACGAAAAGGACTACCACAGTGAATCACTCGCAATGCCCACAAAGAGTTTGAGGTAACAAACCAGCTTCAGAACCGTAGTTTCATTGTATCATTATTTTTAATATTAGGAGGTTTGGGGTTGGAAGTCCGTAATCTCCCAAACCCGAAAAAACCACAACATGTAATATTAGTTTCGTCCCAGCGGTCACTCAAACTTTTGAACCTCTGAGACAATAGTGGTCCTTCCTAGTTGAGCTAATGACCTCTGGTTTCATTGTATCATTGAGAGGCAATTCTAATGATTATTTTTCTGAAACACCAACGCAGGTTCTTTAACCGTGCAGCGTTAAAAGAAGAACACGAGGTTAAACGAGATGGCACAGTTCAAAATCCATGGAGAATATGCAGCGTCCAACAAGTGGAAGATTTCAAAGCAGTCATTAGAATCATCCCTCTTGCGTTAGCCACCATATTCTTGAGCACCCCAATCGCCATGCAGCTAAGCTTAACAGTTCTTCAAGGTCTAGTGATGGACCGGAGCCTTGGTCCTAACTTTAAAATCCCTGCAGGCTCTCTCCAAGTCGTAACACTTCTCTCCACTTGCCTATTTATCGTAGTCAACGATCGGTTTCTCTACCCATTTTACCAAAAGCTTACGGGGAAGTTTCTCACACCGCTCCAACGAGTTGGGATAGGCCATGTTTTCAACATTCTAAGCATGGCTGTGACTGCCATAGTTGAAGCAAAGCGATTGAAGATAGTAGAGAATGGTCATTTCCTAGAATCATCTTCTATAGCTGACATGTCTGTCTTATGGCTATTCCCTCCTCTAGTCATAGTAGGAATCGGTAAGGAACTGATTTTCAGACAAATCTACCAACTTTAAATGAAATAAAATAATGATCATGTTCTTGGTTTCTTTCTTTTGTTTGCAGGAGAGGCTTTCCATTTCCCAGGGAATGTGGCTCTGTGCTATCAAGAGTTCCCAGAGTCTATGAGGAGCACCGCAACGTCGATTACATCGGTGGTGATTGGGATATGCTTTTACACAAGCACTGCTCTGATTGATTTGATTCAGAGGACCAGTTCGTGGTTACCAGATGACATAAATCATGGAAGAGTTGACAATGTATACTGGGTGTTAGTCATTGGAGGAGTCTTGAATCTCGGCTATTTCCTTGTGTGTTCTTGGCTTTACAAATACAGAAACCTCGAGGATGATGATCATGAAAAAGATGATGTCGTCTCTCCTTCGTGATTCCAAAGTAACATGTCCTTTGTTGTCAACAATAGTCTGACCTTTGTCTGAAAGTATCTTTCCACTCTTATTCTACTTCGTCCGTTTCTTCGAAACTATTTCTCTCTTATTCTTGCAACAACAGTTTCAGCTTTTGTGGGAGCCGAAACTCAACACAATTTGAGGATGATGGTCATGAAAAAGATGTAGCTGTAATCACATTCTACTACGATGCCCGCCTGATTTTATAAGATCAAGAGTGAGAGGGATAGAGAACATGTTATTATGTTGTTGGTATCTTCTAGTGTTCTGTGATTGTCTGAAAGTATCTTAATTTTGTATCCACTGAAAAGTATATATATTTTGTTTTGTTTTGTTTCTTCTTCATTTCAAAACAAGTTCTTTGCACAAACTTTAGGTTTTTCCTTCACTTTTTGTGGGCTTACTTCTAAATAGCTGCTTGTATTATTGATGTATGATCAAATTCTTAGCAGTAATGGGACAAAGTAATGGGACAAGTGGGTCTTTCTTTAATATCTCCTCTAACAGGGCACACAAGTTCAGTTGACTTAATGAAATGTTATACTGAAAGAGGTTGTCTTTTTAATTGCAAAGATGACACCACAATAAGATAGTGCAGAAGGTAAATCAAGAGACAAAACACCAATAGCTTTATTCAAATCTTCTTTAAATAATCTTTACAAGACCTTGTTTATTCAGCTTTACACGTCTAGTGTTAACACCCTAACACATGTCACTCACTACAAGAAAAATGAGTTTCGATAGTAGTCCAGTATAACGTTTTTTTCTCTTATGCTATGGTTGGTATATCCTTTAGTTTTAGATAGCGTTTATATTTTTTGAAACGCTATGTAAGAGTGATATATTTGGACATGCTATAATAGATTACGTGACGTTTATGTTTAACAGCAAATATTAATTTGAAACGCTATGCATAAATAAGGCGGGAATATAATTAATTTTCCCTCTCATCCTAATTTTACTTTCTCTCTTACTTTGTTTTATTTCTCAACTCTCCAAAAACTCTAAACCCTAAACTATAAATCAAACCCTAAAACTTAAATATTTTCTTATGTTGATTTCAAATCTTAAGTTTAGTTTCAAATTTTAATATTTTAGAAATTTCAATTTCAAATATTTAATCTAAACATCAAACCCTAAACTATAGACGTATATATGTTATACCCCAAAATTTTTATTATCTTTAACCTTAATGTTAGTCTAATCTTAAATTTTAAATCCAATCCCTAAGTACTATATTCCAAACCCTAAACTCACTAAGTTGTGCACCCTAAACTCTATCCTTCATATTTAAACCACACATCCAAAATTAAAATATAATTATAAAATCTAAATTTTAAACTCTTAAACTTTATATCAAAATACAGTTTAATATAAAATGTAACCTAATTTTACTCCCAATTTTTTAATTTCTAAAACTTTAAACTTGAATTATAAACTACAATATTCTTGTGGTGGTTAAACATATCATTTTACTTTATTAAATATTATTAAAAAAAATCAATACAGAAAAATAAGACAAACCAAATACAGTGGCTAATCATTTTGGTCCGTTAGATATGATTAATTCCGATGGACCAACGCTTTTCCCTTCTATTCTATCTATCTTATTTTTCATTGGTTGATATATGTTGGTGAGGATAACCAACTTTTAATCTCTACCATCAATGAAATCTTATCCAATGGTGAGGATATCAAGAGCTTTTCTCTCAATCTCTCCAACCTTTTTTTCTCTCTACCTCTCGAATCTCTATCTCCCCAATCTTTTTTCTCTCTTGAACGCCTTCTCTCTAACTCTCCAGTCTATATCTCTCTCAGTCGCCATGTATCCCAATCTCCGTTGTTTGATCCAAAAATGGTGTTTTTTGTAGAATCATAACAATAAAAGATTTAAGAATTGGATTCTTAAATCCTTGAGGTTTAGGAGAAATCAACAAAGAAATCGAATGAGAATAGAACATCAAAGAGATTTATTGATATGAAGATTCATTACAATCAGTGAATACAAATGTAAAGTGAATCTATAAATCCCTAAGAAGTATTCATAGTATAAAAATGAGAAAAGAATCCTTTCTAATAAGGAGGTAGCTCCTTACTTATAGGAATGTGAGAACTAGGGTTTCCTAGTGAGATGGGCTAATTCATTGTCTTAATGGACCTTGTTGGGGGTAAAACCCATGTCCAACATCCGTCTCTCTCAACCTCTCTGTCTCTCCATCTCTCTCAATTGATATCTCGTGCAACCTCATGTCCCCAAAGTAGAAATTTTCCATTTTTCAATTACAACAGTGACCCAGAAACATGGATTCAAGTTTTGTTGAAACGTTTTTTTTGTTGTTTAGGGAGAAGAAGTGTTTGAGGTGAAAATGGTTTGAACAATATAAAGAGAGAGATGAGGGTGAACAAAGACGTTTTATTAGATCCGAACAAGGAGTTACAAAGAGGCGAGTAAACAAGAGACGGACTAGCCGAAAATACAAGATGGTGAGTAAACGGGATGGCGGGTAAACGGTAAGGTGAGTAAACGGGAAGGTGAGTAAACCCTAGATCTAACCACCTAGTCGCTAAGAAACCCTAGATCTAGCCGCCAAGTGAGTATGTCTAATTCCGGATCCCCTTTTTCCTTTGCTGCCTCTCTCCTTTTATAGATCCAATCTTCGTGTTCGCCCTAATTTACCCGAGCCTTGTTGGGCCTTGTTATCGCTAGGCCCATTTAGTAGTCCGGGTAAATCGTACCTCCGCCGACTCTTTTAGAACATGTTTAGTCGCGCTACTAGACGCGTCTCATGCCGAGTCGTTTTGGTGTTACCCGATGGGCCGAGTATACTGTCATGTTGGGCTAAGTTTCTTCATTTGATGGGCCTTGTGGAGGGGTATAACCCACCTCCTACAATAAGTCCCCCCAGTTCACTTGTGAGTCCGTAGGACTCTAAGTGAATTTGTGGTCAGGTTTGATCAAATGGGGAAACTTGCAAGGATACTCATTTAGACGACGCTTCTGACTTGTCTAGTCTTGCAGCTAGGGTGTCGATCACATGCGTGTTTAGGCGGCACTTCGAGCATGTTTAGGCGCGACTAGAGTGTCGATCACAAGCGCGTTTTAGGCGGCACTTCGAGCATGTTTAGTCTCGCGACTAGAATGTCGATCATGAGCACATCTAGGCGACACCTCGGGCGTGTCTAGTCTCGCGACTAGAATGTCGATCAAGAGCGTACTTAGGCGACATCTTGAGCACGTCTAGTCTCGCGGGTAGAACGACGATTATGAGCACGTTTGGGCGACACCCCGGGCAGGTCTAGTCGCGCGACTAGGACGTCCTCCATCGTCGCGTAAATGGTTCGGGCTCATTTAGTAGCATGACTGAATTGGTGCCTGTGAGAGCGGTTTTAGGCGACGCTTCGGGCGTATCTAGTCTCGCGACTAGAACGTTGGTTACAAGCACGTCTAGGCGGTACCTCGGGCGTATCTAGTCTCGCGACCAGAAAGTCGACCGAGAGCGTACTTAGGCGACATCTTGAGCTTGTTTAGTAGCATGACTGAGTTGATGCCTGTGAGAGTGTGTTTAGGCGACACCTTGAGCGCGTCTAGTCTCGCGGCTAGTGTGTCTCCTTTTGTCTCATAAAGACGTCACATCTCAAGTCGTCTAACAAACTAATTAAGTCATTACTCGCGGAGTAACACTTAGTTTGAGTAGATCATCCGAGTTGAGAAGCACGTTCAGCTCCCAACCGTCTTCTGGTCAATCTCGGTCGCTGCTCGGTTTAGATCTGGTTTAATCTCGGTTTGAGTAAACCGGTTTTAAGGGCTTAACCAAACTGAATTAGGTTAAGGATTAATAGATCTTGGATAATCTTCTGGGTTTCTGCAGTTAATGGGCTTATTTAGGCCCGTTTAAATGCATTAATTGTACTTAGAGAATCGTGCCTCAGGACTTTGCTATAAATAGGTAGATTCTCTCCTTCTTTCATTATTCTTCTCTGCAAACTCAGGTACTTTCTTCTCTCCCTTCTCTCTACTTTTAGCTTTCTCTCTCTAAGTATTCTGCTTCGGGTTATGGCTTCGTCGGGGCGATTATCTCGTGAGGAAAAAGGCAAAGGGATCGCCTGCGCCACCGGTCAAGCCGATGATGTTACGGCGAATGGAAGTCCAATAGAAGAATTCAGTTTGATTCATCGCGACGCTTTGCGTAGGGAGAGGCTCGAGCCGCACAGAGACTCGGCCACAGATTTAGCGAGTGAGGAGAATGATTCAGCCGCTGAAGGAGAAGGGGATTCTAGTCGCGCGGCTAGCGGGTCTGAGCGAGAGGAGGGCGATTTAGCCGGCGAAAAAGAGAGTGATGAGGGAGATTCTAGTCGCTCGGGTAACGAGTCCGATCAGGAGGGTGCCGAAGATTCGAGTTCCGACGAGGATGGTGAGGATACGGCGTTGCCGGATCAGAGCCCCCGAGCTTTATGGTTAAGGCATCGAATCGTCAGATTCGATTTGATCGAATGCAAGCCGACCATTCTTCGTCTCGATGGCACCTTCGAGGAGCTAAACGCTCTTCCTCCGGAGTCGGCGCGGGATCCTTGGGCAGAAGGCCAACGTTGGGAGAACGTCTTCGGGACTCGATCTAATCACTCAACCGTAAGAAGCATTCTGCAGTCTTGCAGAGGAGCCGGCGTGACTTACGCGATTCCCACCCAGGAGCAGAGGCCTTGGTCGCCTCCAATCGGCTTCCAATGTGTCTATGAGTCATATTTCGAGGACGACTCGAAGCTTTGGTTCCCAATTCCGCGTTTGATCTCGGCATATGCGAGGAGGCGGGGAGTAGCAATCAGCCAGCTGAAGATAGGCTCAATTCGGAACGCTGTTATGTTGATGGTGTTAGCTGCGGAGATAGATGTTCCCATGAGCGTGAGAGTGTTCGAAGAGTTGACTTCTACGAAGGCGGAGAGGGGAGGTTTGTTCTCCGTTAAGATGCGCCCAAGTTATAACG